GCGTGCGGCCCGTGGCCCCAGCGAGCCGCCGCGGTTCGAGGCCTCGGCCGATGCCCCTCGCCAGGGCGCCCCGCGCCGCGGCGGGCCGCCGCGCGGGCGGGCGGCCATGGAGCACGAGGCTCGGCTGCACGCAAAGGGTGGCCCTTCGCCGGAGCGGCCTTTGGTGCGGGCCCACCTTCCTGGGGCTCCTCCTCCTCCTCGCTCCTCGCTCCTCGCTCCTCCTCCTCCTCGCTCCTCGCTCCTACTCCTGCTGCTCCATTCCTTCCCCTGTCGCACCCCGAGGCGTGTCAGTGGGGCGGGCTGGGCGTTTCGCCTGAGTTTTCCTCACCGCTTATCGCCTTTGAGCTAAACATGTGCAGCAACTTCACGGATAGAGAGCGGGTCGTTTTCAACATGCGGCTCTTGTCTTCGCGCCGCGCACATTCGTTTTAAAGCTTGCCAGATTTTCACAGACGGGGGGGGCAGTGCCAGTTCAATATGTGGCTCTCGCCGTAGCGCCGCGCGCATGCGGCTTAAGAGTCTAAAGGAGTCTTGTGGTGGACGTCCCACAAATGGTGGTTCGGCACGACTTGAAATTGTCAGGGCGCAACAGTCACGTTGATTCGCGGTGTTGAAGTCTCAGGAGCGGTGTTCTGGCGTGATTCAGGACCGTCGTGGCGCAATAATAACGTGGATTCGCGGCGTTGAAGTCTCAGGAGCGTTGTTCTGGTGCAGCCCAACGTTTTCAGGCGGGTGTCTCGCAGCGGGGCGCTTCGCTCAGCGAAAAGGAGCCTCTGTAGGGACATGTGAAGAGGGAGCTTGGAGAGAGGGACACTGTTGACGACTCTTTGGGTTTCCCCCGGTCCTCTCCCTCCTCGGAGAGGCGAGGGCCCTGCCGCATGCATCTGGCGGCTAACCCCAGGCACCATGCGGCCTGGCCCGAGCAGAGTACCGAGGCGGCGGCCCCTCGCCGGCTGCGGCATCCCCGGGGCCAGCGGTGCAGAGGAGACCCATGCCAGGAAACACCCTGCTTGCCTCCAGGGTGCCCTGGGTTTCCTGGGTTTCGATGGCTTTGCTGTGGAAAGCGTGGCGTTCCCGCGCGAAAGATCCATGGACGTCCCAGGGTCGCAGGGCTCTGGATCTCTTGTGGAAGGTGTCCCTCGTGGACTGGCCTCCGCTGTATGGTGACCACGCCGCGTGGTGAGTCAGTGGGGAGTCGGGGCCACCGCCCAGTTCTGGGGACTCGGGCTGTGCTTCGAGCGCGTCTCGGGCGAGAGCGGGGCCTCCGAGGTCCCCCAACAGGCCGTGCGGCGGCGGGCCGCGCGGCGAGGTCGGTGGGGGATCTTCGAGGTCACCGCGCGTCCCGTCGCCGTGCGGCTTCTTGGGCCCCGTGTCGGACGGTGGCGATACCGACGACGCGATGCGATACAGTGGAGACCCATGCCAAAAAACGCCCTGCTTGCCTCCAGGGGGCCCTGGGCTTTTTGCGTTTCGATGGTTTTGAACATGGCAAGCGCGGAGTCAGTGGACGTCCTTACGGGACGTGAAAACGACCACAGCCACTGCTTTTCTTTTGTTGCCGCCTCTCAGCCAGCAGAGACAAGGCAGTGGTTGTGGTCCTTTTCGGTGAGCCTGGCACCAGGGAGATGACCACAGCCACTGCGCTTCTGCTTCGGCCAGCCGGAAGGCGGCGCAAGCAAGAGGCAGCGGCTGTGGCCATTCTCCCGTCCCGCGGTCCTGGGGCCTCAGGGCGCCCTTTTTTTTTTTTTTTTTTTTTTTTTTTTTTTTTTTTTTTTTGTTTTTTTTGTTTTTCTGCGTTCCGGTGGTTCTGAACATGGCAAGCGCGGACTCAGTGGACGTCCTGGGGCCTCAGGGCTGGGGCTCCTTTTGTGGAAGGCTCCTCGAACGAAGGATTGCAAAAAAAAAGGATTGCAAAGCAACTTTTTTTGTTCGAATGATGGCAAAGACACTTATTTTTCGAAGGATTGCCAAACAAGGTTTTTTTTTTTTTTTTTTTTTTTGTGTGTTTTTTTTTGCAATCCTTGCGTTTTTTTTTGCAATCCTTCGGTCGGGCCCCGGCTGCAGCAGCGACGGCGCGAGCGCGCGCGCGGGCCTGTGGCCGCTCCAGGCGCCCCCCCGCCCGGCCGCGCGCTCCGGGGGCCCGCGCCCCGGGGCCGCCCGTGGGGGGGGGGTCCGCCCCGGCGTGCGGGGAGCCGGCAGGTCGAGGCCCGGGGGCGCGGAGGCATATGCTCACCACCCTTTCCTCCTTTCCTCCTCCTCCTCCTCCTCCTCCTCCTCCTCCTCGTCTTCGTCCTCGTCCTCCTCCTCCTCCTCCTCGTCCTCCTCCTCCTCCTCCTCCTCCTCCTCCTCGTCCCCACCCCCCTCGTTATTCACCACCCACCAAACCACCCAAACCCAACCCGAAGGCTCAACTTTACCCTCGATTTCCATTGGGGGGGGGGTCGGGAAGCATCGAAGAAAACACACGTGGAGCCCTTACTCCCCCCAACCCGAAATTCGGGTCTTCGGGTTGGGTTGGGGTGGTCTGGTAGGTAGGCATATACGGGAAGCGGCCTCCGCGCTGTGGGCTCTTCGCCTTCCCGTCCGCTGCCTCCCCCCTCTTTCGAGGAGGAGGTCGACCGCAGAAGTGACATACCCCAAAGTTGAAGAAATGCTCGTCGAATATCTACGACACATAATTCGAGAGTGCCCCCCCTCTCGAGGAGGAGGTCGACCGCAGAAGTAACATACCCCAAAGTTGAAGAAATGCTCGTCGAATATCTACGACACATAATTAGAGAGTGCCCCCCCTCTCGAGGAGGAGGAGGTCGACCGCAGAAGTGATCTGCCCCAGATCTTTGAGATGCTCGTCGAATAGCTACGACACATACTCTCGAGGAGGAGGTCGACCGCAGAAGTGATCTACCCCAGATCTTCGAGATGCTCGTCGAATAGCTACGCAACACACAATTAGAGAGTGTTCGGAGAGCTGCGAACGCACACGACGCATCTCTCGTGCACTTGACGGAAGCTTCATTTCTGGGGCAGAGACCATTCTTTCCATTCTTCTGGTTCGACCAGGTTGTCAGGGCTCCCCTCTTGTCAGGTCGGACGAAAGGGGGGGGGGTGATATGGAAAGAAGGGAGTTGGCAATCATCTGCGTGCAGCGGGTTTCGGCCCCGGCTTTGGGCTCTTTCTTCCATATGGTGGCGGCTCCCGGCGCCGGGAGGCGCCGGGAGAATCAACTACGTGAGCTTCTTCGCCAACCCCCCCATCTGCTATCCTCGAAGAAGACATAACGGCATAAACATAATTTTCGGCGCTCCGCGCGGATTTTTTGGATCCGCGCTGGGCTCCCCGGCGGCGCCTCCGGCGCCGCCCCTGGCGCGCTTCGCGCGCTAGGGAGGGGGGTCCGGCGCAGATCCAAGAAATCCGCGCGGAGCGCCAAACGTTTATGTTTGTGCAGTTGTTCCTTATTCTGTATCCCCCCCTTCGTCCGACCCGACTCTTCCGCACGTCACCACCACCATCGTTGCCATCGGCATTCGTCATCGCCCGCTGCTGCCCCCGCCGCTCTCCCCCGCCTTATAGGATGATACAACTCCTGGTGCATCGGCGCTGGTGTGTCCCTGGTCGGAAACTTGCCTGACCTGCTTCGATTCCGCACGCTCCGCTTTCATCCCGCTCGATCCCGCCACGTCCCGCTTCGTCGGGCCTGATCCCGGGCTCCATCCGGCCTGCTGCGGCTCAGTGGCCCGGCCCGGCCTCCACAGCCCCCGCTCCCCGCCCGCCCCGTGTTGCTCAGTTTTGTTTCTGCCGCCTCTGCGGCGTCAGCATTATGCTCAGGATGCTGTGTTTTGCTTTCCAGACGCGAGTTTCGCGTTGCAGCGTTAGCATAGTTCATGCCCTGAAGGGGACCGATGACGAAAAAAAAATCGCGAAGACCTCCCCCAGGAGCTGCCTCGATTGCCCCCCCCGCCCCTCCTCTCGCTCTGCCCTGCGCTGGAGGCTGGCCCGGCGCCGCGCAGCGCCTGGGAGCAGCTGGACCTGCGCGACGCGGCGCGCTTTGTCGCCAACCAAGCGCGCCAGGCGCAGGCGCGGGGGCGGGGGGCTTCGGCGAGCGAGGGCAGGCTTTGGGCGCTCGACGTTCGAGGTCTTCGGGTGCTTTCGTCGGCTCCCGGCGATTTTCCAGCCTCGGGGTGCCTTCAGCAGCTGCCTCTCGCCGAGGTCGTCCCGGGGGTGCCCTGGTGATCCCGATCGACCGCCAGAGAGGGGAGTTATGACCCGAAGGCTGGGGGGTACCGTCGGGGGTGGGATAGGCTCAGTGGGTGGGCTCGAGAGGGCTTTGACCCGAAAGCCGCCGGGCCTCGAAGGGGAGGGGAAGCAGGGAGCCGAGGCCAGCCACAGGCGAGGTCACGTGGATGCCCGATGTAGGCATCCCTTTGTTACTTAATTCGGGGTTGGACAGACCTCCTACCCTAGAACGTCGATTGAGGGATTGGCCGTGTTTGGTTCGCGAGAGGGCGTCGCGACCGTCATTTTTGAGGGTTCAGGTCCGTCGGTTTCGGCCCCAGGCCGTTTTCACTAAGGGGAGGTTTACTAAAGGGAGGCTTGTCCACCGCCGATTAATGGCGCCCGCCAAGGCGCCTCCTCCTTCCCCCCACCGCTATCCTCTCCTCCTTAACCATCGGTCGTTGAAAGTAGGTACTTCTGGAGTCCCAGCTTCCGATCTACTTCGAGCGCCTTCCTACTTCAATGATCGAGTGGCTTCACCTGTTCCGCCCTCTTTGGGAGGCGGGCGGACACCCAATCTAATTCCAGCGCCTTCCCACTGCATGCTTCTGCCCACCTCTTCCGACGGACGGGTGCAGGGGAGCTCCTCCTCGTCGCGCCACCCGGCGTGTGGGCATGGTGGGCCCGGCGTCGCGCTCGACGCTCCCTCGCGAGTTCTGGTCTCCTGAGGCTTGGGCAGTGCAGCATGTTCACGGCTGGGAGGCCGGCTGTTTTCCACCACCACCACCATAAGTTGGAGGGGGAGGGGCTCCTCCTCCTCCTCTTCCTCCTCCTCCTCCTCCTCCTCTTCCTCCTCCTCCTCCTCCTCCTCCTCCTCCTCCTCCTCCTCCTCCTCCTCCTCCTCCTCCTCCTCCTCCTCCTCCTCCTCCTCCCCCCCTCCAGCTTATGGTGGTGGTGGTGGTGGAAAACGGGTTTCGGCGCCGCGTGCCCTCCTTGTAAACGGCTGCATCATGTACACGGGTAGAGGGCGGTTCGTTTCCATGCCCCGGCGTGTATGTTATCGTCACATGACGGTTCCTGTTCAAAATGGGCGTCTCGCTGTTTTTGTTACTAGTTCTTTTCACAATTCTTGCCCCTTAGGTGTTCGTGAGGGTCCCTGTTCGAGGCGGATTTGGTCATGGCAGCGAGAAGCTCCCACGAAGGCCAACCAAGGGCCAAAACCTCACTCAGAGAAAACATACGCCGGACCACCCAAACTCAAGCGCCTTTCAAAACAACTAAGCTCTTTGGGACGAATCAATAGCAAGTGCATTAGGAGGAGACCGAAAGGGAGGGGGACGGAAAGATAAGAGGGGATAGAGGTGAGGTGGAACAGGAGGAGGAGGAGGAGGAGGAGGAAAAGGAGGAGGAGGAGGAGGAGCAGGACGAAAAGGAGGAGGAGGAGAAGGAGGAGGAGGAGGGACAGTAGTCGCAGGACCAGGGAAAGGACGAGGATGAGCGCGCAGTCACTCACTCCAGGGGTGGGGCAGCGCCACGTGATCGAGGGAACCCCCTTTGTTGGTGAACCCAGGCTTGGGACTTCGAGTAGGCAGCGCGCGCGCGCGTGCAGACTGCTGACGGGATGGTCGGCATCCCGCGCAACGCCACACTTGCCGGCGCTCTGGGGGAACTCCTGGGCCCGGGCGGCCGGTTATACGGTGGCCCGCGACCCGCTGGCCCTCCGGCCCGTGCCTCGGGGATCGGCCGTGTAACACCATAGACCGTACCCCAAAATCGAAGCTGGGAACGGGGGCGGGGAGGGGGAGGGGTGTCTGGGATGAGGAAGGCGGGCGGGGGGGGGGTCGGAGGTGGAGGGGCATGGCAGGAGGAGGGAGGAGAAGAGGGGGGGGCTCCCTTCCTTTTCCTCCCCCTTCAGCCTCTTCCTCCTATTCCTCCTCTCCTCGTCCTGTTCCTCCTCGTCGCTTTCATCCTCCTCCAGTTTTCGGTAAGCAATTGCGCTGGTGTTTTAGCGATCGGATCTCGCGTGGCTCTAAGCGCAAGGCTCAAGTGTCGCCATGGGGTTATAATTCTCTTGCACAGGGTGTCTAGAGCTCCGACCATTTTATTTTGCGTCGCACCGCACCCCCCCCTCCCCGCCCCCCTTCTACCCCTCCCCAGCGTCCCCTCTGCGGCCTAGTGAAACCTCCGCCCAGTGCCCCCTTCCGCCCCGACCACTTTATTCCGCGTCGCTCCGCGCCCCCCCTCCCCGCACTCCCCCTACCCCTCACCAGCGTTCCCCAGCGGCCCAGTGGAACCTTCGCCCAGTGCCCCCTCCGCCCCGACCATTTTATTCCACGTCGCACCGTCGCCCCCCTCCTTGCCCTCCTCCTACCCTCTCCAGCGTTCCCCGCCCCATTCCTTGCTCCCTTCGCCCTTCCCCCCAGCGTTCCCCAGCGGCCCAGTGGAACCTCCGTCCAGTGCCCCCTCCGCCCCGACCATTTTAGTCTTCGTCGCACCGCGCCCTCCCCCTCCCCGCCCGCCCCCCCCTTCTCCCACCCCTCGCCAGCGTTCCACCGCACGTTTCCCCCCATTCCCCGCCCCTCCCCTCCCCCCCCCAGCTTTCCCCAGCGGCCCAGTGGAACTTCCGCCCAATGCCCCCCACCCCACCCCGACCATGTTATTCCGTGTCGCATCGCGCCCTCCCCCTCCCACCCCCCTTCCCGCCCCTCCCCAGCGCCCCGCCGCACCCATCCCCCTCTCGCCGCCCCTCCCCCGCCCCAGCGTTCCTCAGCGGCCTAGTGGAACCTCCGCCCAGTGCCACCGCCGCACCGATAATTTGATTGCGCGTCGCACCGCGCCCCTCCTCCCCGCCCCCCATTCCTTTTTTTCACCACCGTTCCCCAGCGGCCCCGTTGAATCTCCGCCCAATGCACCCTTCCGCCCCGACCATTTTATTCCGCGTCGCGCGGCGCCCTCCTTCCCCGCCCCCCATTCCCCCTTTCCCCAGCGTTCCCCAGCGGCCCAGTGGAACCCTCGCCCGCCCAGTGCCCCTCCGCCTCTGTTTCGGATTCCTTGGGAGTTCTCGGGATTCTCTGTGGACTTCTTGGGTGTTTGTTGGAGGCCTCCTGGGAGCATGTTGGAAGTCTTGGAGGCCATCTCGCCGGGGGGGGCCCTTCGAGCCTCCTCGAGCTCGCCCAGTCAAGCCCATCTTGTGGCCCTCGTTGGGGCCTCCTTCTCCGATTTCTCGTGCCCTATCCCTTCCCCGTCCTCCTCCTTCACCTCCTCCTTCACCTCCTCCTTCCCCCTCCCTTCTGTGCAAGAGCCACGGCACGCGTGCCACTTGTTTTTGAATGCGGTTTGTGGTTATGAAATCGGAGAGGTGTTTTAGTATCAAGTAAAACGCATCCGAGAACGCCGGGAAGTTGTCACAACACCTCCCGCGACCCTGCCAGGAGGAGGCGTGGGCGGGCGCCAGCCTGGACAACCGGCAGGCTCGGGTCGGACGCAAGGGGGGATACAACAGTCGGACAGAGTTATAAGATCGAGGTCGATTCGGGGAGGGTACCTTAACGTTCTCCGTGCTTGTTGGACGTTTTCGTGCATCCTGGGGAGGGCACCCTTGGATGCTCCGTGTGTTTTGCCCGGCGGAAGGTCTCACGTTTTCTTGCAGGATGTTCCTCTGCCCCAGGCTCCAGGCCCGGCCGCATCAGAAGGGCCTCCTCAGGGCCTCCTAAGATGAGGCCTCCTAAGGATGCCCAAGTGTGAGGACAGCAAAATCCACCCCCACCCCCACCCAGGGCACCCACCTCCGACCTGGTGGTCCAGGGTGCCCTGGGTGGGGGTGGGGGTGTGTCTTTGGGCCCCGCGGCTCTTACAGCACACCCCCACCCCTCCTCCTTCTCCTCCTCCTCCTCCTCTTCCTGCTCCTCCTCCTCTCCTCCTCCTCCTCTTCCTCCTCCTCCTCTCCTCCTCCACCCAGGGCACCCTGGACCAGCAGGTCGGAGGTGGGTGCCCTGGGTGGGGGTGGGGGTGGGTTGTGCTGTCCTCACACTTGGGGCTGTGGCCTCCGGAGGATGTCCCGCGGGGGTGCTCACACCGTGGATGCCCCGGAGGTGCCCCGCCGTGGCCTCCTTCAGGGCCCTCCCCCCGATCCTAAGGAGGCACCCCAGGAGCTCGTAGTGCACCGAGGAAGGCGCCTGGCGGCGGGGCCGAATCCAGGGAGGGGGAGGAGGAGGAGGAGGAGGAGGAGGAGGAGGAGGAGGAGGAGGAGGAGGAGGAGGAGGAGGAGGAGGAGGAGGAGGAGGAGGAGGAGGAGGAGGAGGAGGAGGAGGAGGAGGAGGAGGAGGAGGAGGAGGAGGAGGAGGAGGAGAGTTTTGAAACCTCATTTCTCCATTCCTCTTCAGGGCGCACCCCCGTGGGAGGTTAGGTGCACCATCGGCGCTGGTTCATCGTGGGCGAAAGCCGCCCCGATCCGACATAGTCCTGTTGCGTCTGGCTTAGTCACGCTTTGTCTGGATAATGTATTGGCGCTTCGCGTATCCCCACCAGCCCATGCAGACACGATCGCAGGGCAAGGCAGCGACTAGCCCCATTTGGAAAGCAGGAAACGACCACCTCTGCTACATCGGCGGAGGCACGGCCATCAACAAGACCAACCTCCTCGCGCCCACGCCTCTCAGCGCAACCCCCGGCGTTCAGCTCGTTCCCCCAGCCCTGGTCTCGGGAGACACGCGTTTCCTCAAGCAGCAGAAGGATGCTCGCTCCTTCTGCGACGGCTGCAGACAAGGGCCGTTCGAGCTCCGCCAGGGCACATGGGAGAACGACCATATCCGTTCCTACTTGGCGCAGCATCGGCAGCTCGCCTACAACAACGGTCTCAACTGCCGTTGGCTCTGCCTGTGGTGCTGGCAACGCCACCTGGAGGACAAAGGCATCGAGGTACCTCAGGGAAGAAATCTGATAGACAAACTCGCCGCCGACCAAAAGGACCAGTGTGCCGCGCATGGTATCCGGGTCTCCAAGACCATCCCGGCACCCGTCCGGATGCCGACAAAACGGGCCCAGGTGCTCAACCCCAGCAGCGACTGCACGTTGTCCCAGCTGCGCCTGTTGGCCACCAGTACTGACGACCCAGCGCAGATCGGCAGCACCATCCCCAACTGTCGTCCCATAAACGACCGGTTCGGCACAGGCGCCACGGAGTCCGGGTTCTACTCTGCCAGCTGCGACAGCTGCAGCGGCGAGCCCGTTAAGCTGGTGTGGGAACCAGGTTACCCCGCTCCCGGCTCTTTTGTCTGGAGGCCAGGCCCCTGCTTGGGGTGTGAAGACAGATGCGGCCTCCCCGACTGGGACCGTTGCCGTTGGGTGGAGTGCTGGTCTGGCGCCTCGTGGAATGCCTCCTGGCGCTGCCGCATCTGCCTGGTGCACCTCTGGGACATAGCGCCCAGCGTCCTCACGGTCATACCAGACAGGGATCCAGTCTGCATGTACCCCCCGCTCCATCAAAGAGGCCCCCGAATCCCAAACCCACTGCTGACGAAGGCCTGCGGGGCGAACTTGGTCACCGACGTGCTGTGGCAAGGCAGGGCGAAGACAGGGGCCAGCCTGACGATGTGACGCCACCTCGCTTCTGCAAGCCAGACAGCTCAGACAGCAGTCGCTGCGAACACACCTTCGGCATCTTGCCAAGTCTCGCCCCTCGTCCGTGCCCACGAGTTGGTCGCGCTGAGTTCGGGGCCTTCTTATAAGCAGCGGATGACAAGCGCGAGACAGCAAGGGTCTCTCTCCTGCAACTGGCAAGGCGCGTCCGCTGTCTGGACCCAGCCACCGACGACGCCTGGATCGCCCGTGCTGCCCAGGAAGGCCCCGGGCCGGACGACTGGAGCGACGGCGCCTGGGGGCACGCGCTCGCCTGCACTTTCATCCTGGCGTTCTTCGCCAACGCCTTCACCGATGACGGAGTCCCGCCTGGCGTCGCCTGGGGGGCGGGCGCGACCGGCGCAGGCCCGACGTCGGCGACGATTGGCGCGGTCACGCCGTTTCAAGCGGCCAGGCCTCGCCCGGCGCCCGGGCCGGAGAGGAAGAGGGGGGCGACGGGCGCGTCGATTGGCGACCAAGGGGGATTTCCATTCCCCCCATCGCGCGCCCAGGGAAGATGCCGCGCCTGGCCGGGCTGCGAGGCCGGGCGCGGACGCCGCTGCCAATGCGGGCTTCCGCGCGACGCAACCAGAGGAGGCGCGGAGGCGGAGGTGCCACAGAAGATCTCCGAGTCCCCAGCAGACGGGCCCCCCCCCCCTCCGCCGCGCCCGCTGGCGGGGGGGCCAGCGCGAAGTACCCGCTCGCGCAGTCGCCCTCCGCGCCGCCGGGTCGGCCGGCAGCGGCCGCGCCCCCGCTGGCGCGCGGAAGCGCGGAAGCCGTTGTCACCCCCCGGTTCTGGGGGGGCACGACTGGCAGCAGCGACGCGGCATGGGAGACCATGGGCGCCCGCGGAGGGGCGAGGGGCGAGGCGCGACCGGCCTGCGCGGGGCCTCTGCGACCAGGATCAGCGTGGCGTGGCTCGCGCGCGCAGCCCCGCCAGCAGCAGGTGGGCCAGCTGCGGCTCCAGCTGGAATGCCCGAAACGACGGGCGCGCGCGCGGATCCAGCTGCTCGAGTTCCGCTCGGTGGGGGCGCGGATCCAAGCAGCAAAGCCAAGCAGCGCGTGCGGATCCAAGCAGCATAGCCACTGGTAGGTGGGTACGAGGAGAGTGGTGCGACAAGGCAGCCGACCCACTCGCGCCGGCCGGCCGCCGTGCCCATGGCGGCGGTCAGATGTGCAGCGCGCCCGCGCGCCTGGTGGAAGCGCGGCGCGAGGCCGAAGACAGCCGTGACTTCATTATTTGGATGCAAACCGAGCTCGGTGCCGCGTTCGACGAGGTCCGGCACCGTTGGGCAGAGTGACGCGAACTGCGTCCTGGGTTCGCTCCAGAAGATCCACGCGTGCGATCCCAGGCCACCTGCGACGAATGTCTGGTTGCCTGGCGACAGAGTGGCTGCGACGCCCGCGCGCTCAGAGCGCGTGATCTGCGCCAGCTTCGAGCGCGCGCGCGCGCCAGTGGCCCGCGGCGAACGGTTGGAACAGCGCTGGGCGATCAGGCAAGGGGCAAGACGAAGCCGCCTCCGAGGCGCGCAGCGGCAAGCACGGCGAGCGCAGCCACGGCTGGGACGGGCCCCTCACAGACAAGAGGCACCGTCTGTAGCTCCCCCCCTGCCGCTCCCCCCCGCCCCCCCCGCCGTGCGTTCTGCCCGGGGTATTGCGCCCCTGCTTCTGTTCCTGTATTTGCAGCGATCAGCTGCCTACTCCTCCCCCCCTCCTCCTCCTCGCCTGGGGTCTTCCTGCGACTGCTTCCTCGTTGCCTGCCCGCGGTGGCGGGGCGTCGCCTGGGGCGTGCCTCTGCCGAGGTCTTCGAAGTATCTGCAGCGATCAGCTGCCAGTCCTTCCAGGGGTTTTCCACTGCCGAGGCTTTCTTTGTACTTGCAGCGATCAGCTGCTAGTCCTTCTCCTCGTGGTCTACGCGCTTGCTGCGTTCAGACGCCTCTCGCGCGTCTCGGCCTGGGGGGCCGTCCGGCAGGCTTCCTATGAATTGCCAGGCCCATTGCTGGATCTGGCTGCCGGCTGGCGTGCGGAGCCGGCTCCGTTGGGGCCCTTCCCCGTTCGTTCTCTACTGCGCGATGGCCGCGAGGGTTCACGTCGGGAGGGTCCGGGCGGGCGTGCCCCCGACCCTGCCAGGGCAGCCTCTCGCCCAAGGCGTTCGTGGTCTCCCTGGCGAAGTATCTGTGCGGCAAGTTTGGGGGTCGCCGCTTCCATTATTCTGGGTAAACGTGGCGTCCGCCTTTCCTCCTCTGCCCGCGTGGTCTGCTTCTTCGACGAGGCTGCCTGGGGTGCGATGGGCTTATCGCCATGGCCATCCATCCTGGTGCTGCAGGGCCCACCCGCTGCTTCTGGGCTTGCTCGGCTTCCTGCCGGCCACTTCGTCGTTCTGGTGCAGTTCCGCCTCTTCCGCGCCATTTTGGCCGCGCTGTGTTCCCCCTCGCTCTGTCGTGCTCGCGTTCGGCACGGTCCTGCCGTCAAGTCCTAGTTTCCTGTGCGGCAAGTTCGGTGCTCTGGCTCGCCGTCTTCGCCGCCCTTGGCAGCGTGGCCTGCGATTTCGGCATGTCTTGCTCGTTCATGGTCGCCTGGGGTACGGATGGGCCTCGCGCCGCGGCCATCCTGGAGCAGCGTGGTCCCGCCCACCGCCGCTTGTGGTTTCGCTTGCTATTCTTCACGCCTGGCACCTACTCCGTGGTCCTGGTGCTGCTCCCCCGCATCCGCGCCTGTTTCGCTGCCCTGAGTTCTGCCTGTCCCGGCGCGCTCGCTGTTTTGTTTTCTCTTTCGCAGGCGGCATAGCCTGCCCCTGCTTGCCCAGCGTCCGACTTGATTCGCGCGCTTGCGTACCCAGAAAGTATACCCACCA